TACCAATACTGAAAGTGTGACTTCCTTAAGGAAAATAAATCTAGTCCTCAAGTTATTATGAGGGCACCCTATTGTCTCACTGACTTTTCAAGTATGATCACTGCAGAGTCACAGTACAGGGGGGTGACCAGTAGACAGGGTGCCAGGTGCTGGCTCCATCTTTAACCAGGGATCACTTCCTGTTTTCTGGGTCTCTTTACTCATCTGCGAAATGCTCGGCAACCCTGATTTACACCCCATGAAGGACCACTTCTATTATTTTTCCCATTTTATCTACCCAACATAGTATATATTTTTAATTTTTAAATTTATTTTTAACTATCATTATTATTTTCGAGATAGGGTCTTGCTCTGTCACCCAGGCTGGAGTACAGTGGTGCGATCATAGCTCACTGCAGCCTTGAACTCCCCAGCTCAAGCAATCCTCCTGTCTCAGCCTCCTGAGTAGCTGGGACTATAGCTGCGCACCACCATGACCGGCTAATTTTGTACTTTTTGTAGACATGGGGTTTTACCATGTTGCCCAGGCTGGTCTTGAACTCCTGGGCTCATCCTTAGCTTCTTGCTAAGCTCTGGGGGCCATCCATCCACTACTGTACCTGGAGCTACTGATTTCAATAGAGCTCTGACCTTGAACCCTTGCCTAAACTCCAAAGGTCTGATGATTAAGTCAGGCCCAAGAGAACAAACTGCCTCTCCATCTGAGTCTCTCATAGGCTGGGCCTCAGGAAGACTATTCTTACTGGGAAGCCCAGGAGTGAAGGGGGCTGAAAAACAAGACTGTAATTAGCTTTCCAGAAACTAAAATGTGCTTTGGGGAAGATCCTGGAAACCATTTAGTCTAAGCATCACATTTTACACATGAGAAACGTGACACGAAGGCAGAGCAGGGCTGGAACCAGGCCTCCCAAGGTTCTTCCCACTTGGCCACTTACAGCTTCTCAATTTGCTCCAATTAATAAATGAAAGCTTTCTTTTAAAGTGTCACCCACTCTGAGCCAAACTAACTACTTTTATACCCATTAGATCAGGTAAACAACTCGCCTAGTATCACATGATGAAACTCAACACCTTTTGCATCCTGCAGTTAGGCAGGTGTCTACTGGCCAATGAGGACAATGCTGAACTGCGGCACAAGGACAGGCAATGGCTCCATCTCCCCAGCACTGCCATCTTCGAACAGTTGCAATTCAAGTGACAACGTGAAAATTTTATTGCATCCTTCACTTTTTGTTTTATAAAAATTGATGGAGGCCAGCTACAGTGGCTCACACCTATAATCCCAGCACTTTGGGAGGCTGAGGTGGGCAGATCGCTTGAACGTCTGAATTTTTTAAGACCAACCTGGGCAATATGGTGAAACCCGATCTTTACTAAAAATGTAAAAATTAGCCAGGCGTGATGGTGTGTGCCGTAGTCCCAGATGCTTGAGAGACTGAGGTGGGAGGATGGCTTGAGCCCGGGAGGTGGAGGTTGCAGAGAGCTGAGATTGCACCACTCCACTCCAGCCTGAGTGACAGAGTCAGACGTTGTTCCCCTCAAAAAAAAAAAAAAAAAAAAAAAGGTGGAGAAATGCTAACACTAAAGTTCTGATGCTATTGACCTTACTCTCACCCATGGGACTCAGCGTGACCATCTTGAGGCTTCATTCCTTCATGCTATGCTCAATTGTGAAGGCAAAAACCCACAAGTTTAAAAAGTATGAATGGGCTGAGTGTGAGCGTGGTGGCTCACACCTGAAATTCTGGCACTTTAAGAGGCTGAGGTACAAGGATCACTTGAGCCCAGGAGTTCAAGACCAGCCTGGGCAACACAGCAAAACCCCATCTCTACAAAAAAAACACAAAAATTAGCCGGGCATGGTGATGTACACCTGTAGTCCCAACTACTTGGGAGGCTGAGGCAGGAGGATCACTTGACCCCAGGAAGTCAAGGCTGCAGTGAGCTGAGATGCACCACTGTACCAAAGCCTGGGCAACAGAGTGAGACCTTTTTTCTAAAATAAAGTAAGATAAAAACTATTAATAAGGCCAGGCATAGTGGCTCACTCACGCCTGTAATCCCAGAACTTGGGGAGGCCGGGGCGGGTGGATCATGAGGTCAGGAGTTCCAGACCAGCCTGGCCAACGTGATGAAACCCTGTCTCTACTAAAAACACAAAAACTAGGCGGGCGTGGTTGCAGACGCTTGTAATCCCAGCTACTCAGGAGGCTGAGGCAGGGAACTGCTTGAACCTGGGAAGCGGAGGTTGCAGTGAACCAAGATCGTACCACTGCACTCCATCCTGGTGACAGAGCGAGACTCTGTCTCAAAAATAAATAAACAAATGACAAAAAACAAGAACCTAATATATTTGGCATAAACACCCGTTTAATTGCCAATTGAAGGTTTTTCCAACGTCAGTCAATCAGTTGATGCAACAAAATACTGCCACTCTACTTAAGGATTAAAGATCCTTGTTCTCCTGCCCCTGTAATAATTCAGAATCAGTTCACAGATATGGAAAATGTCAATTGCTTCAGAATTGCTCAAAGAATCAGCTTAGGCATGGGGCCTTTACCCACCCAAAAGCAAACATCTCCCTCCGATCTGTTTCTTCACTAGTAAACAAAGGTCAAAACACCTCTACTGCCCACCTAAGAAGCAACAAACAAACACAATAGGGATGAGCCCTCACTAAGCCCGGGAGTTTTCAGCCTGCCATTTCAGGATCCCACAAGTGGCAATGTGGGGAGGGGTGCACGTGAAATTTACGACATCTAAAAAGAGTCAAAGGCAGCAGTGCGGTCCCCCAAGCGTCGCAGGGGCTAACCCAACATTCCACTTCTTTGAGTCTGGCTGGAAACCAACCCAGCAGGGAACTAATGGAACCACTCGCGGCGCCATAAAGCCCTGGCAGCATTGCAGGCGGCAGACCTCGGCGAAATGGGTAAAGAAACCCAGATAGATGAGGGGGCGGGGCCACGCCCACAGGTCACGCCCCACAGTCCGGAGCGCGCGCGCGCCCGCCCGCCCCGATGAATGGAGACGCCCGCTTTCGGCGCACGGGCCCGCCCTGGGGCTCCCGCGGGGCCGAGCCCGGGGAGGGCGAGGACGCGCCGCAGGCTACCTCGGAGCCGATCATGTAGAACTCGCCGTCATCCTCCAGCTGGAACTTCACGGGCTTCTGCCCGAAGGTCTTGCTCAGCGCCATCATCATCATTGCGGCGGCAGAGACGGGCGGCCGGAGCCGGTCTGCGAGGGATCCGGAGGGCTGGGGTGGGGCCTGGGCGTGGCCGGCGAGTGCCAGGCCAAGGGAAGCCGAAGCCAGAAGGCGAAATGCGCACCGGGCCGGGTACCGGCGCCTCAGCCGGGTTCCTCAGCCGCCGCCACCGCAGACGACGACCAGGCCGCCCTCAGTGCGCAGGCGCTGGCGTTGACGCTGACGCGCGCGCCGCCGCTGAAACAAAAGGCCGGGAGCGCCTCCGCGGACTTCTTAAAGGAGCCACGGCTAATTTCTCTTCCTCCCAGGCTGCCTCCCAAGTCGTGGTGTAGAAAGGAAAGCTTCTCACGGACAAAAATAGCCACTGCTTTCCCAGTCTTACAGCCAGGACTGGAACGGAGCCCAGGGGAAAAGAAACGAAGTGAGGTTTGAAGGAGAAGGACCTAATATCTGGAAGCCTGAGTGGTCTGGGCACGTTTGGACACCAGGCTCGTGCCTTAGCTTCCCAACCCCTGAAACAGGCAATGCAACTGAGCAGATAGGCGGGCCCCTAGGAACAGATATCCCAGTTCCCGGCCTACGGCTGTTTCTGCAGCTGTGGAGGTGGGCAAAATGACAACAGCGGATAAGGACTGGCAATATTCAAAGGCCCAGATGGTATTTGGTTTGGCTGGTGCATCAGATGAGCATGGGAGGGAAGGGACACTTTCCACCTCCATTCCTTTGCTTACCTGAGCCCTGCAGTGGGACGGGAAACCAGGCTCAGTCTCTTGGCTCCTACCGCCCGAAGCTAGTGAAACTAAAAGTCTCAAAGCAATCATGTATCTGATTGAATAATCCAGTGAGTAAAAAAGTGGCCCACCACTGATGATTTCATACGGTTCAGTCTACTGAAATTGCAGCTGTGGTTGGGCACAGTGGCTCATGCCTGTAATCCCAACTCTTTAGGAGGCCAAGGCAGAGAGCATCACTTAAAGCCAGGAGTTTAAAACCAGACTGGACAATACACCAAGTCCCTGTCTCTACAAAAATTTTAAAATAAATAAGCTGGGTGTGGCGTGGTGCTGTGCGCCTGTAGCCCCAGCTGCTTCGGAAGTGGAGAGGGGAAGATCCCTTGAGCCTAGGAGTTCAAGGTTATAGTGAGCTGATTGTACCACTGCACTCCAGCCTGGGCAACAAAGGAAGAACCTGTCTCTCTTTAAAAAAAAAAAAATGCAACTATGATAAATGCTGTTATGAAGACACATGTGGAGTTGGAAGGTAGGAGGCAACCCTCCCAAGTAGCTGAGAAGAGATGGGGTTTCACCATGTTGACTAGGCTGGTCTCAAACTCCTGACCTCAGGTGATCCACCCACCTCGGCCTCCCAAAGAGCTGGGATTTCAGGCACGAGCCACTGCACCTGGCCACATCCTTTTTTTCAACACTTTTTTTCCCACCCGAGATTAGTTGAGTTTATGGATGCAGAAACCACAGCTATGTATGGAAGGCTGACTGTGTTTCACGAGGGGCTGGGCTGTGGCGGGAGCAGATAAAATGACCACCATTCTGGAGGATGAACGGAGGGGACAAGTAGGAAAGTGCGGAGCCAGTTGACAAGCCACTGTAGCAAAATGTGATGTAATGGAGCAAAAGGAGCCCTGAGCACTGTGCCCAGCCCCAAGGGCCAGAGGGTTGGGTTGGGGGACTGTGACCCTGGCTCCCAGGATAGTGCTGGACAGCGGCCATGCCTCCTGATCCTGGCTGAACATTCACAAAAAGAGACCAAGCAGGCAAAGTAGAAAACAACTGTGTTTAATGACAGTCCTCAGTTTAAAAAAAAAAAAAGGCTTTGTACACACTGTACACATATTTACAATGGCTTTGGAGGATAGCAGTGCTACAATAAGGGCTTCAGGAGGATTCGGCCTGGGACAGGATTGAGGTATGTTGCAGCCTCCAAGGCCCAGGGTCTCCTGCAGGAAGAATCCCCCTCCCCAGTTAACTGTGAACTCTTTGGCCTGGATTCTGGAGAACAGATTTCCAGGATTGTCAGCTAGAAGTCAGACAGATGCAAACACCTACCCAGAGCTGACCTCAGGAAACGGCCCTGCCCTACGGCCCAGTTGCTCGGCCAGGGCTGAAGGCCAGCACCTTGCTTCGGTGCCAGCCCCTGGCAGGAACCTCACAACAGGGATAGAGCAAGGACACTCCAGTGCCCCCAGCCCTGCCATGGTACTACCCTGAGGGACAGGGATAGAGACAGGGCAGCCAGGTTTGCCAGGACCTGCATAACTGGCCCAAGACTGCCCTTCCTCTTAAGTCATGCCAAAGCCTCCCTGCCCAGTCTGAGACGGTCGCTGGCAGGTAACCACGACCTGCGTGGCCCTCCCTGCAGTTGTCATGGTGGTTGTACCCCACCCTATCCCCCCTGAGGAGACATGGGCTCAGTCCCATGTCTGGTGCCTATAGCCGCAAAGATGGCCATGGGTCTCTAGCCTAATATCCGTGGCCTGGCAGGGGTCAGCACCCCTGAGGGCATCCAAGCCATGGTCAGAGGAAAGTGTTGGCAGGCTCGGCACAGCCGAAGAAATCGGGACCCACGAGACGGGGGAAGCCTTCCAGAGCCTTCACCTTCACAGGGTCAAACTTCCAGTAGAGGCGGCCACGCAGGAAGTAGGCATAGCCTGAAAAGAGAATGCAGTCAAGCCTGGGCAAGTGGACACTGGGCCCTACCCCTGCCTGTCAGGCTGTGCCAGGGAAGAGCACTAAGGGAGGGCTGCGTGGGCAGGCCTTGGCCACTGCTGAGTTCCTTGAGGATGGAGAGTCCAGGGCCAACCTTTCAGAATCTCTCTTCCCTCTAGGGAGCCCTTCTGCCTGCCCCAGAGGCTGGGCTAGGTTAGTACTCAGCCTGACAGGTACCCAGAGCCTCAGAGGTCCCACCTCTCAGGAAAGCAAGTCCTGTTGCCCCCACCACCCTCCACATCACGCTCTCCTGCACCCACTAGCCAGGCTATTGATGGGCATCCTGGAGTCCTGGAGCTGGAGGCTACCCTAGGATAGCTCTCCCAGCGGGTCTGATGTGGGAGAAGGAAGACAGAAGAGGGGCCCAGCAGCAGAGGGAGTACTGGACTTTGAGTCCTGGCCCTCTGTGGTTGTGGGAGACTGGGTGGGTAAGTGGTTAGGAGCAGGGACCACCAGGGTGGAAGGCCAGGTTAGGTGCCTCAGGGCCTAAGCCTATTTGCGCCTCCAGAAACTGAGTTGACAACAGGTATCACATCAGAGGGCTGTTCTAGGAACTGGATGAGACCACTAAGGAGCTTAGAGCATTGTTGGCCCTCAGTGCACAGCAGTTGATTGTTCTACTAGCTGTGGCTGAGGAACCAGGGTAAGACCTTGCCCCTCTCTGACCCTCAGTCTCCTCATCTGCAACAAAGAATATAGCACCACCCAGCCACCAAGAGGAGGGCAGATGGCGCTGGACAAAGGACCTGTAATGAAGAGCCGGGCTTCCTGTTGCAGGCATGTGGGACATGAGTCTGCTGCACCCACTTCCCACCAGCTGCCCCTCCCCCAACACACCATCAGCATCCTGGAAGGCAGCGTCAATCTCAGAAGGTACCCCTCGCCAGTCAGTGGCCCTGCGGGGCACAGGACTGTCTACACGCCGGGTGCTGGGGTGGAAACGCCAGTAGTCCCTGCCTCGGAAGAAGTAGATCTTGTTCTTCTCAGGACCCCAGACCAAGGCAGCATGGACCGGGGACCTCACCAGGCCCAGCTCGGTGAGGGGTGCAGGGCCCAGGACTGGCTTCTCACCGTCGTATACCCAGTACTGAGCACCTGCCGAAGAGGGAAGGCTGCAAGGACCTGCCCAGCCACCACTGCCATGCCCAGCCATGGTGGACCTGCTTGGTCACCACCACAGACTCTCCCAGCCTCAGTTTCTTCATTAGTAAAACATGTGGGCCAATAATGCCTGCTCAGCACCCCACCCACGGAGGGAAGTGGGAGGCGTGGGATAAGCTAGGGCAGTGAATGCTCTGTAAATTGTGCACAGAAAGGTAAGGTTCCTCTCTGCCTGGGCTCCTGCTCCTTCCACTGGCATTTGGCTGTGACAAATGCCTGCTGACCACTCTCTGGGCCTCTGCAGGCTGGGCTGCCCTGGAACCCACGCAACTTTCCCATGCTATGCCTTCATTTGTGAAGTCCCTGGCATCTGCAATGCTCTAGGCTCTCTACTCTGCCAGTTGAAGATGGAAATCCCAGCTCTGGGATGACAGACCCGGATCGGTTTCCTGTCCTGCCTCTTCCTAGCTGTACTCTGGGTGAGTCATTTCACTGCCTCTGAGCCCCAGAGGCCTCATCTCTAGAACCCTGCCCCATGGGTAGCTTTGAGGGTTGAATGCACCAACACGCTGCCCCACCTTGCAATCCGTTCCACACTACTAGCTCAAGAGCCGCCTCCGGGAGCCTCCTAGCTGTGCCTGAGGAATGAGCCACACTCTCTCCCTTGGCCCCCAGGGAGGGAACCTCTCCCCGACCACTGTATCCCTGAGAATCCATCTGTCTGTCCCTGCCCTTGGCCATGACATTCCTGGCTCTGGGAAGTCTCTCAAACAGATCCTCAACCCCCACTCACCTTGAAAGAACCAAATGTGGCCCTGGGCATCCTCAAAGGCAGCATCCACAGGGCTGGGCAGTCCCTGCCAGTGGCGAGAGGCCAATGCCGGGTAGCCGGGCTGCAGCTGGCCCCCACGCAGGCGCCACACAAAGCCCGCTTTGAAGAAGAAGAGCTCGCCTCGGATGGTGGCAACCGCGTCAAAGGAGGCTTCACAGGCATCTGGTGGGGCTTCCGGCTGTAGGGGGAGAGAGGAACACATGCCGAGGGCACATGTTACAGCCACAGTGGCCAGCAGAGGAGTGGGGGAACTGCGGACAGGGCCTCACCTCCAGCGGTGCAATCTCATTGGTGTCTATCCCAGCCTGGGGGCCCAGGGCTGGGGTCCTGGAGGAGACAGTGGGCCGGGGCTGGCCATATAGGTGTTGGATGCCCCTGCGGTCATCTGGGCTGAGACTCAGTGGGTAGCGAAAGGTGTAGAAGGCAGACATCAGGGCCTTGGCTTCTTTTGTGTGTTGCAGCCCCAGGACGTGGCCAAATTCATGGGCTGCCACCTGTAGCAGGTCAGTGCCTGGAAAAGGGAGGTGGCTCAGCAACCCCCGAACCTTCTGCTCAGGACAGGACACCCAGCTCCAGGACCTTGGTGAGTCCCCATTCTCTTTTTTAAATTATTTTTATTTTTTGAGTTGGAGTCCCACTCTGTTGCCTAGGCTATAGGGCAGTGGCGCAATCTCGGCTCACTGCAGCCTCCAACTCCTAGGTTCAAGTGATTTTCCTGCCTCAGCCTCCCGATTAGCTGGGACTACAAGTGTTTGCCACTGTGCCCAGCTGATTTTTTGTATTTTTAGTAGAGACGGGGTTTCACCACGTTAGCCAGGATGGTCCCAATCTCCTGACCTCGTGATCCACCCGCCTCGCCCTCACAGAGTGCTGGGATTACAGGCGTGAGCCACCGTGTCCGGCTGGCAAGTCCCCAATATCTATGATCTTCTGTTGCCCCATCTGGAAAAGGGGTCCCCAGCCCATACCCTGGTCATCCCCGATAGTCCAGGTCTCATCATAGTCGAAGTGGACGTCCCCTTCTCTGTGGGTCTTAGGGAAGAAGGCATGGGCCAGGATGCCCCCAGGCCCGTCAAACGGCAGGTTGTCCCCATGCCAGTACCTACAGATGGGTGGGGGCGGGGTCAGTGACTGCTGGCAGGTGGGGCTGTTCCTGGAGGGGTCCCAGGCTGCCCATTCACCTGGCAAAGTCAATCATGATGTCAGCATGGCCCTCATGAACCTCAGTGAAGGTGAGTGGTGTCACGTCGCTCCACACCCTTAGGGCCTCTGCCATCGTCTGCCGCACCTGCTCCTGCACCAGCTGCCATGGAAACCGGAGGATCCTGGAGGGAGATGGAGGGGCCTGGGCCTCAGGGCAGGAATAGACCCTCATGGCTGAGGCATCAGGATGCTTGGTGGGTGTGTGAACACTTGGGACACAGGCCAGGTGTGCTCTGGGCCTCAGCTTCAGTGCACTGGTCTCCCTGGCCACAGAGGCACATGTGTATGTGGTTTGCTCATACTCAGGCAGTGTCTGCATTCAGTGGAAAGAACCAGGACCAGGGGTCCCGAGACCCCCATCCTAGACCTGACAGTGCCACTCACTGTGGGGAGACCTTGGCTCCTTAAGCCTCCATTGGTTCCCAGGCCCCCACCTAGGAAATTCTGAAGACCCCAGTCTCAGCTCCAGTGCTATGTGACACCAGCCCATTCTTCACTCCCAGGCTGGGTCCCTACCCACAAGATGTGTGAGACCCGGATTCCCCATCACCTGCCCAGGGTCCTCTCAAGTCACCCAATGACATGCCCACTTTTGCATGATGACAGAGGCACTGCCCCTCTGCTGAGGGAGGGTCTCCGTAGGTGTGTGTGTCTGAGTTGGGGCTTCAGGGTGTTTGCCCATAGATGGCCTCCCTGGGGTTCAGCAGGCACACAGTTCTGTTAGACATGAAGATCTAGCCCTGGTCTGTGTCTCAAGTGGCAGCTGTCCGGCTCACCCGCGGGCACACAGCTTGCATCCTAGTGTCCTGCTCCCAGGCCCCTACCTGTAGGTGAGGTCCGTCTTCTCCCAGTGCCCGCCAGACAGCACAAACCTCTTCTGTCGGTTGCGGGCACTCAGCCCATCGGGTTGGTCAGGCACACCGCAGCGGGGAGGCCTACGGCTGCTGGCAGGCCGGGAGGCCTCCTGCATGGCAGGAGCAAGTGCCAGACTACTGGACAGGGCTGCATGCCAGGGCTGCAGCCCCCTCCTCTCAGCATGGCGGTGGTGGGCATTCTAGAGAGGAGAGATGACATGAGGGTCTGGTCAGGGCTAAGGTTCGCATGGCCCACAGTTAGAGGCGTGGCCCGTCAGCACACCCACATGCAACCCCCGCCCACTGTGTGGCTGGGCAAATGGGGAGGGAAGGGGCCCCGGCACGTGGCAGGGCCCTTTGGCATCTGGCTGGCTCTCTGGTTTCCTGGCACCTTGTTCCAAGGCGTTAAGCTGTCCCCCACCTCCTGGAGGGCCCTGGGCTGCCTGTCACCTACTCTAGCTACTTAGGCCAATGAGGTCTGGGGTGGGGGCACACTGGGACTGGCTATGAGCCACACACTCCAGGAATGGGCCTCAAAAAGCTTCCTCCAAGGGAACACCAGGCGAGCTCCTCCTGCTCCCCACAGAAACTTGCTTCCAGCTCCCTTTCTTCCTGTGTCTGCTAAGTTCAGATACACCTGGGTCACCCCCCATGCTGCTGTCCCTGGTCCCCGTCATGTGAACAGGCTCCACCCTCTCTCCTGCCCAGGATTCCCCTACTTCCTCCCCATCATGGAGCGAGCAGTGTGGCCTAAGTCGGTATGACCTGACTGCTGGGGATGACACTGATTTGTGGACTGGACAAGGTGAGGCATATACAGCACCTAGCACAGGCCCAGCACCCGGGAGGGCACCTGGCCACTGAGGCCTGGCTTCTAGCAGAGGCGGTTTTGCTCACACCCCACCAGGGCTAGGAGTATGGTATGAGCTGGATCTGTGATCTGCCTGCCCTCTTCAAGTGGGGAGGGTGGGGACAGTTACTAGACAGTTACTAAACTGTCCCCACCCGCCAAAGCCCCTGGACCTCAGATGATGATTCAGACCTGAGCTACATCCTCCTACCCTCTGTAAGTCTCCAGGGCAGAAGTTATAGCTCTTGTGCATGAGAAAAGCAGAAGCTCAGCGAGGTTGGGAGACCCTGCAAAGTCACCCAGCAAGGTGTGGCAAGGCAAGGCCAGGACCCTGGCAGCCCAGACCTAAGCCTAAGGCCTGGCTCTGGACACAGCACAGAGGCCAAGTCTCCTTCCTGCACTGGAGGAGAGGGATGGAGCTGTACTGTTTGCTGAGAGGCTCAGCACCTGGCTGGGCTGGGCCACTGCAGCCTCCCGACAGCCATATTTGGGCCAGGAGCTTGGCCACTCAGGCCCCGCCTCACCCTCAGCCTTTGGCAACAGTCCCAGACTCCAGACACCCCAGGGATCTGATCAGCATCCCAGCACTCCCTGCTCCCAACCCCAGAGCTGGGGAGTCAAGAACACCCCACCATGAAGGGGAGCCTTCTGAACATGGAGGCTATGGAACTACTAAGGGGGTGAGGCCTGCAGCAGCTGCCCCCTCAGTTTCCGAGCTTGCTTATTGCATAGTTACCTGCCAGAGCGCAGTCTCACTGAGTCATGGGTTCCGGCTGATTCTGGCCTTATCGTTTTTTTTGTTGTTGTTGTTTTGTTTTTTTGAGACAGAGTTTCGCTCTTGTTGCCCAGGCTGGAGTGCAGTGGCACGATCTTGGCTCACCGCAAACTCCATCTCCCCGGTTCAAGCGATTTTTCAGCCTCTGCCTCCCAAGTAACTGGGATGCCTGGCTAACTTTTGTATTTTTAGTAGAGATGGGGTTTTGCCATGTTGGTCAGGCTGGTCTTGAACTCCTGAACTCAGGTGATCCACTTGTCTCAGCCTCCCAAAGTGTTGCGATTACAGCCGTGAGCCACTGCAGCTGGCCTGGGCCTATTATTAATAAGTACTTATCACTGTTTCAGGCGACAACCTTGGCAACAGCTCCATGGACTTGCTCTTAGCCAACTCCACCATCATCAACCCCAATGGGCCTCGGAGGAGTTAAGCAGCTTGTTCAGGTAACAGCTGGCAGGCAGCAGACTGTGCTCACAGCCCACCCGGCTCCCTTCTCCCTCTGCTCTGCTTTGCAGGGGTTGAGACACCCTTCCCCCTGGAGCAGGGACCCAGGCTGGCCTCACCTTGGGGACAGAAGAGAAGGAACTCAAAATTATTCAGCACCTGCTACCTCCTGAGCACTTGGCAGGCAGGTTCATTGTGCTTCCAATACCCACCAGGGAGGTGGAGATGCTACATATCCAAGTTCTCCTATGGAGGACATGGGCTGACACATGGGCCTGCCCCCTCCTCCTGACCACACTGCCCCCTTGACCTACAGAAGAAACAGATGCCTTTCCCCAGCTTGGCAGGGGTATGAAGACCCTCCCTGGAAAGGGCAGAGCTGTACTGTCCCCTGGCAGCTCCAAACAGCCTAGAGCCCAGCCTGCCAGCTCTGTCTACGCCCATGGCCATAAATCTCCTCTCTCCTCTTCCCTCCAGTGAGGCCTGGTACAGACAGCCATGGAGGGAATGACATGGACATGCCCCACCCCCTCCACTGTCCCTTCCTATCCTTCCCCCATGAGGTACCCAGTCCATGCCCAAAGCCCTAGATCATAACAGACTTAGCGTAGCAAAAAGAGCCAGCCACTGAGCTTCAGAGGGCCTCGTTCTATGCCATGGAGACTCTAGACAAGTCACCTTCCTCTCTCGGCCTCAATTTTCCTATCTGTCAAATGGGGATGGTGTTGCAGCAAAGGACTACATGACATTCTTCTGAAATGCCTGTTGCAGCGGCTGGCACAGAGAAGCACCTCTTACCTGGCCCTGTTCCTTGTCCCCTCCCATGCTTGGGAATCTATGCTTGCCAGTCCTATTGCTACCATCACCCACCCGCCCTCCCGCTCCCCAGCAAAATCTCTGGGCTTTAAATGGTAGAACAGAAGTCAAAGCTAGAAGAGAGCTTTCAGGCCTTGAGAAGAAAAGTGCCTTGTGCAGGGTCTTCTGGCATATCAAGGCCTCTTCTCCATGTCCATGTCTCGTTCATTAAATTCATAGAAAGTGAGTGAGCAGGAGAGGCTAGAAACGAGGCCTCTAGCTAGTGAGGTTGTTTTTAGAGCCCATGAGCTCTTGGCCTCAGTTTCTCCATGGCTGGGATGGGACACACACTCTTTGCCTCATGCCAGATGCCCTAACTACAAGGCCTGGCGTGAAGTAGCTTGCTACTTGTGAGACAGGTGAGCTTGGTCTTCCCGGGGCTCGGGATTCAGTGAGGTCAGCTGGCAGACATAGGCCACTCCTGGCCTCATCTACACCTCTGGGGAGTTTGCGAACAGGCAGCTCCCCCATTTCCCAGAGGATGAGACAGAGCCCAGAGAGGTCAAGGACTTTGCCCAGGATCACACAGCAAGTCATGCAAGAACTGGGCCTAGATCTGGGGCTCATGCCTCCCACCTCCAGAGCTTCCTCCTGTCTCCCTAGCTCTTGGCTTTTCTCCAAAACCCACTTTCCCAAGAAGCATTTCTGCTTTAGTGCATTCCCTCTGTCTCGGCCAGTAGCCTCCCTTTGCTTGCCCTGTGGTGGGTTCTTAGCTTACTCGGCCCCACCCTCCTCTGGCAGGCACCAAACCTCAGCCTCAGACACAGTCAAGGAATTTCTCAGCTGACCCAGTGTCCTGGCAGAGCTGAGACTCAGAGTCACCCCCACCCTGGGGGTCAACTTGCAATCCCGAATATGGGAGGCACCAGATAGAGGGGAGATAAGGGAGGACTCCAGGCTGCCAGGAAGGCACTGGGGAAGGCCAGACTAGCTGTGCCCTTTTCTGGGTCTCAGTTTGCAGGCGGTCCAGTGAGTATAATTAATCATAGTTATGCCTTCTGATGTCAGTGGGAGGCGGGCCTTCAAAGAGGGCACTTGTTAGGCTACGGAGGAAAGTGAGAGCATCACCATGCAGGTATGTAGCATCACACCCCTGTGAGGCTCAGAGAGGTCAAGAAACCTGCCCAACTCACACAGCCAGTTGGCAAGCAGGGAGATCTCCCTGAAGCTTCCACCTAATCTTCCTATTCTCACCCCTCTCCTGCTGGCTCCAGAAGGGACGGTCGATGGAGCTGCAGGGCTTCCATCAACCCTGAAAGCTGGGAACTGGGCTGAATAAATATTTACAGAGCTCTCTGGCCCGCTGAAGGCAGCCTAGCAATAAATATATCAGAGGTGACCCCAAATGCTCCCTGCATGTTTGCAGAGTGACAGACCACAGTCCAGCTCAGACCCCACCCCAAGCTGGCCCCCAGCTCCAGCGCTGACTGTGCACAAGTGTCAAAGTGGCAGCTACAGATGGCAGTGTCTCCAGTGTGCCTGGCATCACCTCATTGCTCAGCAGTGGGCACAGCAGTAGGTACTGTTGCCCCCTCCTACCCTCACCCCCATTAGAGATGGAGTGGGTGAGATTCTGAGGCACAGGAGGGTTCACCCAGGGTCACATGGTTCAAACCCACATCTCTCCAGTTTCCAAACCTGTGGGTTCAACGGCTACCCACAGTGATTCCTGACTCTGTCCCAAGTCCTAGGGGACCAAGAGGGGCAGGTAAAGAGGCAGGACTCCAGACTGAAATGGTCCCATCCACTCTACCCCACCCATCCCATCCCTTTCTGCACCCATAGCCAGCATAGGACAAGGCTGCCCAGGGCAGAGCCGGAGTGGCTGGACAGAGGGTCCCAGCATGGCCAGGCCTCCCTCCTCACCAGACCGGTCCCAAGACTTCTGCCGGTCACCCCCTCCTGTTCCCTTCCCTGCAGGAGCTGTCTGGATGCCTCCACTGTGGGGTGGAGCTGCCCAGGCACCCAAGGAGCTGTGGACCCACATTGGCCCAGGCTGGGACTGGTGCCCAGAGGTGCCCCAGAGTAGGGGCAACTTTTGGGACACATGCAAGCTG